TCAGCGGGCGCCAGCCACTGGCTTGCCCGGGGGGAGTCTGGCCCGGGCCCCCCGTGACGCCCTGCCTGCTCCCTGGCCCACAGAGCACCATCAACCAGACGCCCGTGACGCTGCAAGTGCCGGGCCTGATGAGCTCCCAGGTGCAGATGGGCGGCCACCCGACCGAGGTGCTGTGCCTCATGAACATGGTGCTGCCCGAGGAGCTGCTGGACGATGAGGAGTACGAGGAGATCGTGGAGGACGTGCGGGACGAGTGCAGCAAGTATGGGCTGGTCAAGTCCATCGAGATCCCTCGGCCCGTGGACGGCGTCGAGGTGCCCGGCTGCGGAAAGGTCAGGCCCTGGGCGCACCTCTCCCTTGGCGCCCTCCCTGCCCCTCTCTACGCTCTTGCTCTTCTCTTTCTCCACTCCTGCATGCACGCCTCAGGGTGGGTCTGCACGTGAGATGTCGGGTGCTAGAGAGCATGTGCCCCGGCCGGGAACTGAACTCCAGCAGAAGCACCCTCGGTGCAGAACGTGGCTCTGCCGCTGCCTCCTCCTGTGACTGCGTAGGCCTGTGTGCCGCCTGAGCTGGGAGGGAAGTGCTGACGCACCCGCGTCCCCTGTGCCTGTGCCAGCCCGTCTCCCCAGCCCTGAGCCATCGTGGCAGGAGACGGCTCGTGGGTGATGGTCGCAGGAAGCACAGGCCCTGCAGCCTCGTTTCCAGCCCACTGAGTCGGGCGGCCTCCAGGTGTCACTCTGCCCTGGGAGGCGGAGGCAGGGCGTGGGACCTGCTGTCATTCACCCGTCTGCCGACTGGGCTTGTTTGCGGAGTTCTCACTGTGCCAGGCTCTGGTTTGGACCCTGAAGATTGAGCAGTGACAGAAGCTCCGTCTGCCTTCATGCAGCCCAAGTCCTGGGTCACGGGGTCAGACAGCCTGGGGCGGGGTCTGGAGGGTGGTCAGACAGGAGGTGGCAGATGCTGTCCCCAGTGAGAGCAGAGCAGGCCGAGGGTCTTTGTCGGGGCTCTGTGGTGTTCGGCGCAGAAGGCGTGATGCGGCCGGGCCCACACAGCTGAGAGCTTGGGGAGGGAACCACAGACACAGCAACTGTCGGAAGGCTGCCAGACAGAGGGCCCCTCCTGGGAAGGTGTGGGGTGGGATGGAGACCGCGCAGGCACTGGCCTGTCCCTTCAGGGTCTGCCGTCAGGACAGCTGTGGGAACAGCCAAGGCAGCTCCGGCTAGCGGAGTGGAGCTGACAGGGACCGGCGGCAGTAGTGGCCAGGGGCCAGCTCCCCAGGCCAGCTTGGAGTAGAAGTGTGTGCTGCTTTCTGGGGTGCTGGGTCTTCAGGGAGAGAGCCCGGCTGTGGCTCCACTTTAGAGTGTTCTTGGCTGTCCTTGGAAGATGACTTAGGGAGGGTCCAAGTGTGAGCAGGGTGGCGCTTTCGAGAGTCCTGGGGCACTTTGTGAGGGGCTTAGCCTGTGGGATGCCCAGCCCTCAGCAACTGTTGGGTGTGCAGGGAGGGGCGAGAAGGCCAGTGAGGGCTACGCAGGTGAGTAGCAAGGGTGCTGAGCAGGTTTGGGGGTGAGGGAGGTGCTGAACGTCCCAACTGGGATGTGTAGGAATCAGCTGGGCCTGTCTGTGTTCCACTGTGAGGCTGGGGCTCCTGGAGGAACCCATCTGGCTGGCAGGGGGTGGGGGTGGGGGTGGGGGTTGGCAAGGCTGGAGAGGGGGAGCCAGCATCTCAGGGGGGGCACATGAAGTTTTTATTTATTCATTCACTTATTTTAATTTGAACAGAGAGACAGAGACAGAGGGGTAAAGTGAGACCCCTCTCAGGCCCAGGACTTGCACAGTGGTCGGCCATGTGAGAGTGTCCAGCATTAGCCACCATGCCACCTGCTGGCCAAAAAAATTGTTTTGTTTTAAAATAGCACAGGGCGTGGCCGTGCCAACCCTATGGTAAAATAGCACATAAACATTTAGTTAAAATTTAAAACAAAATTGAGACTAGCAATTGGTGTAATGGCTATGTTGCTGGATTCCCATGTAATTGACTGCGATTGAGTTCCAGACTCGGTGACTTAAACTCATGCCGGGCACGTGGGTGTGTGTGCCCAAGATCCGGAGAGGAGAATGGAGGAGAAGGAATTGCGGCCTGGCTGACCCCCAAGGGGTGATTTCTTGCTTTCTGTCTTTTTGGCAAGTGCATAAGCCCTATAGCAAACCCCTCCTCCCATATTAAACAAACTAGTTACACAGTATATAGATAAAGTCACAACAATAAAACATGTGCCGCCTCGTAAAAAAAATGGTCTGAGTTAGGTTTTGAAATAAAAAAAAAGGCCACTTTCTTGTTTATTGTTTTGTACTTAATTTTTTTCACTTGTGTATTTTATTTCTTAAATTTAAGACAGAACAAGTCTTAACTTATAATGTGTTAATAAATCGTAGTAGACTACATATTTTTATCATGGACTTTTGAGCACGCAGGGCGCTGGGCCTGGGAGGGGAGAGGAGCCAGCTTCAAAGCAGTTGAGCCAAGGTCTGGGGTGGGGCATGGAGACCTGCCTGGCCTCCGGAATCAGTTGAACTGTTTTGAGTTTTTAAAGCTGACCATCTCATTTTTGTTGTTGAACTTTTTATTGGAGGTTTTCTCATACGTACTTCAGAGTAGAGAGACGGGTTATTGGTATCGTACCCAGTGCTTGGCAGCCAGCTTGTACTTACCATGCTGTGTTCATTTTACATTTTAACCAGAGGGAGGAGAAGCCCCTCCCCCAGTATGGTCATACCGCAGTCCCTTTACTCTTCCCTCCTTTTGGGATTTTGGGCGTGCACACGTGTCTAGCATGTCTCTAAGCTGCAGGGTCTGGGAGTTGATCTGCACAGTTGGCCACGCAGGGTCCAGCCACCTTAACCACCATGCCATGGGCTTCTGCTAAGTTACCAATATTTCTTCATTCTTAATTTTTGTGGAATGTCTTAAGAGTATTCACTCAGATGTGTTTAATTTTCACCCCCGTGTTTCAGGCCTGGGGAACTTCCAGCTGTGCGTGTGCTGTAAGTTTAGCTGCGTCCCGATCTTTTCTCGCCAGGAGGTGCCTCGAGTTGCTCCTCTGAGATGGCTCCAGAGGTGGCTCACTGTCCCTGGGGACAGTGGCCGGATGGAGCACCTGTTTCAACCAGATGACTTTTTAAAACAAGCCACATGGTCATTACCTGAACAAAAGTGACATTCACTCCTTAGTACTGGGCTGATACATGCTCATATGTCCTGAAAGCATTTTTTTTTAAAAGCCCAACAAGGTCTGCACCTTGAGGTTGGTTACAGAATTTGTTTTCTAATTTATCAGTTGCATTCCTCTCCTCACTTTTTTTTTTTTTTTTGAGAGGTTTTTGTTATAGGGCCCATGCATTTGCAAGAGAGACAAAGATAGAAAGTGAGAAATCAGCCCCCAGGGGGGATGGCCATGCCACAGTCCCTTCTCCATTCTACTCTCTGGATCTTGGGCACGCACACACATAGCGCCCGGTGTGAGTTGAAGCCACCGAGTCTGGGACTCAAACTGCAGTGGACTAATGGGAGTCCAGTGACATAGCTGTTATGCTAACCGCTGGTCCCGTCCCCCAAACACTTTTTTTGGTAAGCCATTTTATTTGTTGAAAAACCAGAGTCATGTGTTGTGCAGAATGTTACATATTGCAGATTCACCACTGTTCTCCCTCCGTTTCCAATAAACTGGGAGTTCAAACAAGATTAGAAGCTAGAATAGTTTGTTTACTTCAGCCAGGGCTTGAATATTAATTGCTGTGTTTCTTTTCCTTCATCTGTTGTCAGGGGAGGGCACGGCCCTCAGGTGGCTTGGGGGCTCTGGCCCTGATGATCAGTGTGGAGTACACAGCTGGGCGCCTTGGCTGGTCTGAGGGGCGAGCCTCAGTGCCCCACCCACCGGCCTGGGCCTGCAGCTCTGTCCCCGCTCAGCGTGGTTCTCGAACCCCTAGCTTACTCGAGCTCTGCTCTGTGCCCTCCTTTGGCTTTGGGCCGTCTGAGGGGATACCCTGGCCCTGCACAAGGCCTGGTTTGGGTGGACTGGCGTGCTGGGAGGAGCCTTGCTCACAGTCGCCTCTTGTTCCCACAGATCTTCGTGGAGTTCACCTCTGTGTTTGACTGCCAGAAAGCTATGCAGGGTCTGACGGGCCGCAAGTTCGCCAACAGAGTGGTCGTCACGAAGTACTGTGACCCCGACTCTTACCACCGCCGGGACTTCTGGTAGAGGCGGCCTGGGGAAGGTGGAGGCGGGGCTGGCTGGGGGCTGTTCCCCTCCCGCCCCCACCTTTTCCCCTCTGA